CCATTGTGACGCTACATAATGGAAGCCTAAGCCTATCCCTCCCCCTTGTAACATAACGCTGTCAGATGTTTTTGAACAAGGTTGAGGGGTATGAAATCTAGGTGAAATTTCTCCTGAAGTCAAAAAAGGTTTTAAATGAATCAAGGCGTCACTTGAAGGGGGCTTACATTTAAAAAATGAGTTGCCCCCAAAAACCCCTATTTTTGGGGGACACTCAACATTTTCCAAATCATAAAATGAAACTTCCTGCTAAGATTGCATGACCACCAAAAGGATATCTCTGTAAATTTACTTCGAAAAACATTAGATGGGGGGGGGTCTTGACGTTTTATTCACCCTTTATAAACACTAATGTGTAGATTATATAAACAAAAATCTAAACTAAACTAAACTAATGTTTGTATATTCAAGGTTTAACGATGAAGTGATGTGAGAAATGCCTTCAAGATCAAGGAAAGGGGAGTGTCCAGCCTTCAATAGGAACAGACAATGACTTTTTGCAAAAATAAAGAAAGTTAATTCGAAATCACCACCATATCTGTCCAAACGCTCCTAATGGAAAAAATAGCAAGCTATGACCACCATTACTATATAATTTTAAGAGAAACAGAAATCCAACTTTCAGATAACAACTAAACACTAAACAAGACACTCAAACTGAAAAACCTCTAACCACACCCACTTCAAGCTATGAACCTCGGTAAACTCAATTTATTAGAAAAACAACAATCATTCCCTATCCAGCATCATGCTAGCATTTCAAAAAAGCCCGGGAAAATGCATAGTCGTGTTTCAGGGTGATATAGTGTGCTGTCCTGGGGATTCTTTGGTCCTACCTTTCTGGAAGACGACAGCTAGTGTCGGACAATGGCTCTGTCTCTAAGGTTGCTGAAGTACATTATGGCATGCCTCAAGGTCCCTTCCTTGGGCATTTGTTGTTCTTGATCTTGATCAACGATTTCAATGCAAGCAACACTGACTCACCATGCTTGTTTTATGCTGGACGACATCACCATAATCACCAGATGCAGCAATGTTGATGAGCTGGTTGTAAGGGTAGCAAAAGACCTTTGAGGAAACTGAAAACTGGTTTGAATGTAACAGGCTAAAGCTAAACGCAAATAAGACGCAGACCTTAATTTGTGGCTTCAAGAGAAACGGGGTTAGAGAAGATTCATCTGTCAAACTTTTAGGCCTACACAATTATAGAAAGTAAATTATCTTTGTCTACCCATTGCACGCATTGATGCAACGCGCATTATGCTTTGCGCCCATTGCATTTTTGTATATTGATTGTTGCAATTTGTTGTGTTATGATTGTTTGCTCTGGGGTTGGAACCTAGTTTGAGGTCGTTGGACAGTTTTGTAGCTTAGTTTCCTAGTTTCTCGGTTGTTTTGTTGATTTTTCCCTTGAGGAATACCATCTGAACCACGCCCTCGTGCCTGCACCCAGGCTAACGACTTGGAAGAGTGACTATGGAGTCACATGGGTGTAGTAGGCCCGAGGAGCGGCTCACCAAACTTTAAAACAACAGGAAAACCCGTGGAGGAAGGTTTAAGAACAACGCGTCATTTGAGAGAAACGAGCTGTAATTAACAATTTAAATAAACAACAACAACACATTATTAACATCCACCATGACAAGAAAACGCTCACCCCAGTTACGAGTTAGTAGGGTGAGAGAAGTTATCTAGAGTCAACCATCTATTTCGGAGACTTAAATTTTTGGTAACACTATCGTACCTGCTTATCGCATACCTATACCCTATTCCATAGTCATCTACATGTGGTATAGTACGTTGGTGACATTCATCCAGTTGCCATATAGTTCTCTTGCAACAGAAGATTGCTGTAAGAACTTTAAACTCTAGTGACTACAGAGAGTACTGTTGACCTCTGTTTGCTGAACTTGGCATACTTACCGTTCACGGTCAGTTTGTTTTGAATTCCCAGTTGCTGGTCAAAGAGAATCTTGAAAGCTACAACAAGAGACCAGGTCCACCAGTATACAACATTCCCGATAGAGCCAAATATTCATATTCCTCGATATCGTCTAAGTTTGACGAAAGATAGCAACCCATTGCTCTCAAGATGTTTAATGCTCTGTATCAACCAGTCAAGATCCTTCCAATTAGGAAGTTTAAGACAAGAGTCGGTGATTGGCTAAAAAAAAATGGTCTTTACTCTGTCGAGGAATATAAAAAAAAATCCTTTACCGACTTATGACAGCTCCTTTGCAGCCTTGGCAACAGAAAGTTATTTTATTTTGTGAAATAAACTTCAATGTAAATAGTGTAAATATTAATATATATATATATAAATATATAAAAGTAATTGACGCGATTATCCAGAGATGGGCTACAATCAAGGATTTGGTAATAGTAATGGTAATATAGCTACCGGTACATAGCAAATCAACCAAGCCAGTTTTTTTTAGCAAACTAGAAAAAAGAAGAAGAAATGGAAGGGACGAAGACAAGACGAGGTGGGCGGGCAGATTTTCACATGGCAGAGCCTATTCGCAAGTCAGACGTGCGCCGCTAGCGTGAACGTATTTTCCAAAGACGCCATATTACGTTCCTAAACCCGTGTTACTTTAATAACTGATTCGGGAACAGGTTGCACACAAAGAAAACCTAGGATTTATTTATTTTTATCAACTGATACACCATTTACAAAACAAAATAATATTACGTTTTAGGCACAAGAGCAGAAAGAAATTATCTACAGAAATATTAGGAACGGTACCTCTAAACCTCATTAGACCTAGCCGAAATGGATGGAATCAACTTCACGTTATCTGCCCGCATAGGCTCCTAGGCCCGGTTCACACGAGCGACTTATCCAGCCGACTAGGCTGTGACTAGGTAAGCCCGACTGGGTAGCGGACCACAGGATCAAATGGAGCCGTTCACACGAGCGTAGAGCGACGACTAGCTAGCCACGTTCGAGCTTGGTGTCCCAAAACGCCAAAACATAGTCGGGCCCCGCTTCCCAGTCACTCATGGCAGCTACCCAGTCACCCGCTCTAGCGGCGTAGCAGTACACGTAACCTTATGGTAGCGTTCACACGAGCGTTCGGGTAGTCGCGATGCAGCTCGCATTCTTCCCTTTGTTCTCATTGTGCACCAGTGATGGATCCGAGTGGTTTTGATATCGTCATTTTCATCAAGTCCGTGGACATGTCGCTCGTGTGAACCGGTGTATCCTGTGGTCCGCTACCCAGTTGGGCTTACCTAGTCACAGCCTAGTCAGCTAGATAAGTCACCCGTGTGAATCACGCCTACTCTGCGGCGCGCCGCACGTTTGTGTGGCGGCCATGACATCTGTGGATTTATCAGGGCTGCCAGTTTAGGAATTTTTATTCACCACACCACTAGTGTTGATTCTGTTCCTTGGACATGACATCCCTGAGCTTGTAGTCATCTGGTGAACAATCCTACAAACTTTTCTAGATTTTATTTCGCCGATGAACTGTTCAATGTTGACTTTAGTCGTAGTAGGTTCTGTCATTTTGCATAGGCCTACACAGAAAGTGAAATGAGGGGGTCAAGGCAGTACCGTGTTGGGCTGAGTTTGTGTTGATCAGTTGGCAGCACTTGACAGTGCCACTGCGGCGCGCCACATTGCAGAGTATAAACGCTCTTCCATATAATGCAATGCATCTAGAGACTGCACGTTTCTGCGCCGACGTGCATTTAGCCAGCCGCAGCGTCGTGCGGCGGCCGCCGCAGAGTATAGGAGCGCCCATTTAACTCAATACACTTACAGAGCCACCGAGTATAAAAGGGGTGTAAAGCTATCACCTCTTTTACTCTGTAGAGGTAAAAGAAAACTTACAAAAAAAATTAATTTCTTCAAAGGGGGGAATTTAAAAAAAGCTGGATAAAACAGGATTTCATGACTCAAAAGCGAGTTAACATGGGATTTCTGGGGTCGCCGGAATTTTACCCCCCTGGAATTTTACCCCCTGGGCAAAGCTGACGTCACTATGACGTAGTAACCTGAAAGCCAAAAGTTTGTTTGCGGCCGGAATTTTACCCCCGCGGATTTGGAAGTCTTATGAAAATCACCAGAGCGTGATTAATTAGATTAGCGATAAAAACCGGAATTTTTCCCCCTGTCCATGTAACTAGCGTTTAGATAACTGAAGATGTACGGGCCGGATTTTTACCCCCAGAATTTTACCCCCGGAATTTTACCCCCCGGAATTTTACCCCCTGGCCAATTTTAGAAATTGAATGATTGATTTTCTTACTTCTGTTTTTAATTAATTTTAAACATTTCATTATTTAGTAGCCCATCTTTCTATTTATTTATTTATTTTGTAAAGAAATGTTCGAAACAATTATCATTCAGTTGATTGTTTATACGTCATATTAACCAACTGTTGGCTTCAAAGATCAAATCCTAATACTAGAATCTCAAAATTAAAATTAAAACTTGTTCGATTAGTTAATGTTACAAATAAATTAATATAGGCTACTTAATAATAAAATGTTTACTATTAAATTAAAATAGAATGAATTAAGATAATTAATCATTCTCACTAATTTATACATCTGGCCAGGGGGTAAAATTCCGGGGGTAAAAATCCGGGCCGTACACTCTATGGTTTTTATAATTTGATGTGTTCTGATTAAATTCACAACCGTGAAAATATATGTTTAATTCCACGTTTTATCTATCGAGCTGATGTCGCGAAACTCAAAAGTTCGCGGCCGGAATTTTACCCCCTGGTTTGTGACGTCACGTTTGCCCAGGGGGTAAAATTCCAGGGGGATAAAAATCCGCTACCCCGATTTCTGTACCCAGTAGGTGGGATTATATTTTCGTCCGTGTCGATACTCGATACACTGAACTGGAAGTGGACTGGCCGGACTGGCTGGCGCTGTAATCAGTCGAATCGGATCCTTGAATTGGAATTGGAATGGAATGGAATTGGAATTAATGGAATGGTTATTGGAATTGGATATTTGGAGGGAAATACCGGACCGCCACCGCTTACTATCGCACTTGCCTCGTCACTTATTTTTGTTTTAAATTTATTTCCTAAGTGCTGGTCGCCTTAGATTTACATCAAACCCATCGAAAATTTGCACGCAGAATCAGGTATGCTTCTAACAAACGTTATTGTGCGAGGTTCAAATTCAAAGAAAGCCTTGACCGATTGTGGCCTAAGCTACGCCTCTTGGTCTAGCCTAGGCCTAGGCTTAATTTGAACAAAAATTGCAGTTCTGGTATAAGACGTCAATATCTTTTAAGTTTTCTAATTTATACGAGTTTTCTGTTACATTTTTGCACTCTCCACTCCACCAATAGTTACTAACTTAGCTAAGCAGGGATTAACCACATTATATTACGTAGGGTACCGGTAGGCCTATTGCCTTCCGGATTAGTGCAAAATCAGGTGATTTACTCTAAAATCAGAGCGTAAGTTAAGATCCTTGTTAACAAGCACAAAGTTATCTTATTCACTGGTACAAAATGTAAGGAAGAACTGATGAGGCGCCCCTATATCACATTGCTTACCCTGAAAGGACAAGATCATGACTTATGTTAAGTTAGGCCTATGTGTTTCTGATTTTTACTTTCATGTTCCTTGCCCCTACTTAAATTTAATCCTACAACACACATTTTACATCTCAAATCTTGAGATACATCACTCATTTGCCATTATTCTCAGATAAGTACGCCTAAGTTGTGTTGTGTTGTTAGCTGGGATCAATAACTTAGTGGGTCAGCTTCGGATGCTGGTCTACCTTCCAGAAACTTAGGCCTATGTTAGTAACATGCAGTAAATAAGTTAAATTAATGAAACCCAATCCTCTTAATCTAATATTTTGAGATGTAATTATAAAGGGGTAGCGGATTTTTATCCCCCTGGAATTTTACCCCCTGGGCAAACGTGACGTCACAAACCAGGGGGTAAAATTCCAGCCGCGAACTTTTGAGTTTCGCGACATCAGCTCGATGGATTAAACGCGGAATTAAACATATATTTTCACGGTCGTGAGTTTAATCAGAACACATCAAATTATAAAAACCTAGAATGTACGGCCCGGATTTTTACCCCCGGAATTTTACCCCCCGGAATTTTACCCCCCGGAATTTTACCCCCTGTTCAGATATAAATTATTGAGAATGATTAATTATCGTCATTCAGTTTTAATTTAATGGTAAACATTTTATTATTAAGTAGCCTATCTTAATTTATATGTAACATTAACTGATCGAACAGGGTTTTAATATTAATTTTGAGATTCGAGTGTCAGGATTCGATCTTTGAAGCCAACTGTTGGTTAATATGATCAAAATAAAACAGCGAATTCTGTTTACTTAGTTGAGATTACAAAATAAATAAATAAAGATAGGCTACTAAATAATGAAATGTTTACAATTAAATAAAAACAGAAATAAGAAAATCAATCATTCAATTTCTAAAATCAGCCAGGGGGTAAAATTCCGGGGGTAAAAATCCGGCCCGTACATCTTCAGTTGCCTAAAACCGTTTAGATATAAAAATCAATATATATACATATATACAAGTTAAAAAAATGACTTCCAGGGATGATGGAAAAGATGGCTACCGCATGTTAGCTATTTCCTTATCACCCACGAACTCAAAGATGCTGTAGTAGGCTCTCTCTTTAATTAGCGACATTAGCTTGTCCTTGAGATGACCCCTTTTCCAGCCCCTAATGGCCATTGGCAGTTTGTTAAAGAACTTTAGCCCCTGAATTTGGTATGTAGCGGCTGTCTTGGAGAGCCTAACGCGGGGAACATCCAGCATGTTTCTCTGCCTGGTGTTGTAGGGATGGACCATGGCACGGGACGTAAGGTCTCTATGTTTATCCCAAACATGAAGAAGGCACAGGAGAACGTAATGACCGAAGACAGTAGGTATTCCTAGTCTCACAAAAAGGGGCCTACTATGAGCCCGTCTGTCACTAAAAGTGATGATTCTTAAGGCCCTTTTCTGGATCTTGAGGGCCTAATTCTAAAGGGCCTAACTTAGCTACTTGGAGATATCCCACTGGAAGCTTGACTGTGCCTCAACAATAACAGCCTACTTTCACTTGTTTTCTGCCCCCTCAAAAAGTATCTCTTGAATTTTTCTTGATCTTAAACTCATTTACTCATTTGGAATCTTGTTTAATGGCTTCAAGCACACATATCAATCTTTTGTAGGCCTAGTCTATTGTTGAATTCACTTGAGGCGAGCAGACCTTTCTACGTTGTCTTGTAGGATGGTTGTGTAAGTTTAATGCTACATCTCAAAAATACTCCCTGTTCTTCTATAATTAGTGCACGTTTCATTGTAAAGTGTCTCTTATATGCAGTCTTTAAATCCATATTTTTTTGAAAAAAGTAGATAGGCCTAAGCACATAGGGCCTAAATGTGAAACCATTATAGAGTTGAAATCAATCATTTACCTAAAAATTATTATTAAATAATAATTTTTTAGAGGTACTTTGTTGTTAACAACAAACCCTCATGTCAGGCAGGAGACAATAATTCAATCTTTCCTAAAAAAAAATGGTTCAGTTAGATATGACTACATGATGGTGAACTCGACAGTAAATAAGTTTATTCCACAAAATATATTACATGGTTAGGCCTATATCAATTTTTTTTTACTAACTACCAGTACACCCTTTTAAGGGAAAAGCCTACATGGGCAAGGTTTGCCTGTGCATAGGCTTTGATAGGTATATTAAAATAATATGGGGCTTAATGTTTTTTTTATTCTAAAATATTAGGCTACTCTTAAAACACAATTATTAATACTCTTACAATTATTTACTCTTGCAAAATCTTACATACTATTATTAATGAATGATATTTCTAAATAAGATCTAGGTGGATATAAACATCTGGACAATCTATAGGCCTATATGCCTTCACTGTAATCATCAGTGTGATTGTTTATTACTAATTGATAAATAAACTGTAGATTCTGTTATTAATTTTTAAGTGTTGTCTTGAATCAAGACACTTTTTTTATATTATGAATCTAAGGGTTATGAAATATATCGATGTTATTGATGTAAAGAATTTTCGCAATGGGTTCGTATTTAAAATGGGTCTTTGAACCTGTAAACTATCAATAAAAACAGCCCACAATAAAAACACAAATATACTATCAATAAAAAAAGTATTTTAAAGAATTGATCCCAATAAAGATGCTGAAATCACAAATAAAGCACTTGCTATAATATATTATCTGACTTTTATCAATGTAAGTTATTAAGTTACGTACTATGATTATATACACTGTAACCTAGCCTATTGTACAAAATTATATTTTAACCCTTTAGTACAAGCGACACGGACTCGGAGTCCGCACATTTGAGAAAGCGCGCCGAAATAAGTGAATCCGTGAATGACATGACGTGCCATCTATCTTCCCCCACTACCTTTCCAAGGACAGTGGCGGGGTTTTGACCGTCTTAGCTTCAGTTGGCCCTGAGCTACGAGGGTGTAAAGCTAGGCCGCGGGTCATGTTTCAAGAAGGTGAAGAACAGGGTAGCGATTGGTTTTCAACAGGATATTTTCAATTTGAAATATTTTTATTTTTAATTATTTCAAAATTTATCTAGGTATATCTATTAACCTATTTTTGGATTAGCCTATTTGAAATTTTGATGCCATATAAACTTTATTAAGTTAGATATATAAAAGAGCGTTTCAGGTAAGAAGTAAGACGCGGACTGTCAGTCCGCGCGTGTGTACTGGTTGTTTTATTAGCCGTGCAAGTACTGGAGGGTTAATATATCATTACTCAATGCAGGTTTGAAAATGGCGTCAGATGAAGAAGACACTAACACACAGGAAGAATTGAAAATGGAAGGAAAATATGGGGTCATATTCTTAATTGATGCTAGAAGTTCCATGTACACTAAGGACATAGAAGAAGATGACAACCAAAATTTGACAAGAATAAATCTTGCTCTGAAGGTAATGTTGTGTTACTTAACTAAGACCTGTTTGTGACATTTGCCTTTGGTGAGCATTTCATAGGCCAGGGGAGAGGAACATTTAGTATAAAGTAAATGGGACACAGTTCGTGAAAAAGTTGATGGGATCTTGCACTTCTGTAAAAAAAATACTTTTTCAACATTTTTAGGATATGTTTACACATTACTTATAATTTTTTTACTACAAGTTTCACAGATACTGTGCTTCTAATTTTTGGCAGAAGGACAAATTATTAATTTTTAATGAATCCCCTACCTCCTACAGAGAGTTTGAGTTAATATCAAAGCAAATTGTTGTACGTTAAAATTGGCCCACTTGAAGGGTAAAAAAAAAACTACTTCACCTAATCACATCATATGGATTGGCCCTTTCACTAGGCCAGCATAGCTAGAGGGACAGGTGACACTGACTGCATTGAAGGGCCTGTATGGTTTAATCAAAAGTTACAGTAATATAAAAAGTGGAATGATACATTTTTTGTTTCCTTTCTGTATCTTAGAGGAAGGTCTCTTATAGTTCTCTTAAGTAGGTTACTATAATAAGTTAGTTGAGAGTGTGTTAATAATCTACCCATTTCAATTTTTTTTTTAACTTTATAACATAAAAACTGTTCTCTTAACAATTTAATCAGACATATCATTAATATGTAACGTCAAATTCGTTATTAATTTCATTTTATTAGTTTTGAAACTAACAAGTTGTGTTTTTTCTTCTTTTAGCTTTAAACCACCGACTGAGTTCTGAAAGGGGATTGCACCATATAATCGTGTAACTTTAACTCAATCTTTTAAATTCAAATTTCTTACCGACTACGAAGATAGGCCTAGTTTGATTTTTAAACCCGAAATAACTATATATTGTTTTGTTTTAGTGTTGTCGGCAACAGTTGATGAACAAAATAATTGCCAAGATGAGGGATTTGGTTGGAGTAGTGCTCTTTGGCACGGAGAAATCTGACCCAGAGACAAAGACCAGCAATGTTACATTGTTGCAAGAACTCAACTATCCTGGGGCCCCAGCTATAAAGAAACTTGAAGAACTATTGCAAGGTAATCTACTAGGTGTTATAGGGTCTATTCAACTTGTGCATTTCTTACATTCTTTTATGTTCTAAATATAAACATGAGTTAAGTTGGTGGCTCAGTTGGTAGTGCGACAAACTTTACACTCGTAATAGAGATGTCAAGGGTTCTTATGCACAAACTTTTGTCCGAATTGTTAATTCACTCCTCCTTTGTTATTAATATTGTACACTAGGTACTTTGTAGAGATCCCTCTTTCTGTTATTAAAATGAGCCTATTTAAAATAACCTTCCTTCCTATAAATAAATGTACATCAACCTTACAGCATACCGTTCAGACAGGCTATTATTTTATTAGGAATTTGGGTAGATAGGGAGAAGTAGTAGCCTACAACATTTAGGCTATATATGTTTTAAAATTTAATAATAATTTGATGAACCGTGATAAAATGTACATGATACACATTTAAATGCCACATATAGCCTAAAGGGAAAATACTAAAAAAATTGGAACTTGTGTGTTACACCATCTTAAACAATCTGGTTATCATCATGCAAATTTCTGAATTACAATGACAATGATGCGAACAGAAAGCTCGATATCATTATTGACTGCAATGATCCGCTGCCCTGTTGGTTTCATAAAAATATGCCCCTAGGTTGTGTATATCAATCAGTAAAACTATATTATAGACTATTATTGATTATAGGTGTGCTTTTAGAAAAATTATAAAAATGACCATGTTTCATATATAATATATTTAATGACCATGTTCAGCTTTATTTCACTGCCATCCTATTATTTGGAAGCGTGTCGGCCAGAAACAGTGGCATCACAACAAGAATCCATGTCATTACCTCGGGGTTTAAGTTGCGCTCAGTTAAAAATAAACTCGGCTTTTACATCCTTGCGCTCTGTCATTTTTAGCTATCAGTTACATAGTCTGCGATTATCAGATAACCGCAGACTATCAAATCCTGAGCTCGTGAACTGCCTCTAAACGTAGTCTAGGAAATGTTTTCTTAAGTTGCAATTAAAATAGTTAAGTTTCCGGTTTAGTGGATTCAGTTTTATTATGGTCAAAATACATGGGAAGTAATTTTTGAAATAGCATGTATAGCTAAAAAATACAGCATAAAATATGAACCAATTGTGCCTTATAGTTATAATACAAGACATAAAAAGGATATTGCAACTTCAACCTACAAGCTGGAATTCTCCAAAAAGAAACCAACTTTGCTGGATCATTAATTTTCAGAAAATTTCCTGCCTCTATTAAGGAGGAATCAAATTATAAATCATTTAAGGCTAAATAAAAAAATATATATATTTAAGAGGAAAGGCCCTTGTACAATTGAGGAATTCATTGAATAAACGAATTTCCTTGATTCTATGTCTCAAGTAAACAACAAAATTGTTGCTTTTAAAATGTAAACAAAAAAAAGAAGAAGGTAAGAAGGTTCTTAATGTTATTCTTATGGGACAAAATGAAAATGTGTTTAGGATTTTATAATTATTTTATTACAGAACAAATTATCTCCAACAACAATCCCAAGCAAGATATTATGCTATTAAATCTTCGTGCAAAACATCAAGTACATAGTGATTCTCGAGCTTTTCGATTTACAAGAGATGCTTTTCTTACTACAGTAGACCCCCTCTTAACCGACCTCGTATTAACCGATAATCGGATTATCCGCCTTCGATCGTAAAATAATACAGTCTGTTTTAACCGACCTTGCTTTGAGAGCAGCTCGGTTTAACCGCCGCTTTCTAGGAATCTCGGCATTTCCGCTCCCACGCTGGGCGACGAGAACTGAACCATACGCTTATCTCCACAGGATATGACTAACAATAAGTTATTTTGTGTTGATCACAAAAAATATAGCATAGCCTATTGTCAGTTTGTCATCATCGTTAATAGCTCGGTTCGTAGCTCGAGCACATCTGATCAGATATGTTATCTGTGCGGCAAATTTATAACATCATAAAGTGCATTACGATTTTCAGAACTGATTATCTTATCGCTGGAGTAAACAAACAACGCAACTTGTAGGGAGGGCAGGGAAGGAGTGTTAACAACTCCAAGGTCAAGATAGTTTTTGTGCCTCGAACCTCCAGTGAGTGGCCATAAATAAACGTCCTGTCTTGTAACAAAATGGTCGCTTGTATCTTTAATGACGACAAAAGGTTCTGTACTGTATTACGATGCATTTGGAAAGCATTAATTAATACACTACAGTAGTAAAGTTATTAAAATAGGAATTTTATTGACTCTTGCCTAGTATTATAATATATTCACTGAAAGTAGGCCTATTTGACTTAACCGTGTTTTGTGTTTATTTGTGACATTTCTATCAATATGAAAAAGGAGATAAGAGTAGTTTATTTTATAAATAATGCAAGTATGACTTCAAAATAATGATTATATAATTCTAAATGAATAGCACTTCATTATGTTATGATTTTAGGGATTGCCCGTTTTATCCGACCTTTTGAATTATCCGACCTAGGTCCGGTCACATTAGGGTCGGTTAAGAGGGGGTCTACTGTAGTATGAGAATTCACTTTGTTCATTTGATTATTAACTGGGTTTGAATTTTTTCAATATCTATATAAATTTCTTTTAGTTTTAGGAATAATGCGGGGCAGGGGATTATTTTTTCACATTTGGGGAATGGGGGTAACTAATTTATGGGGGGGGGAGGTACACCATGATTCCAGGGGGGGCACTCATGGAATAATGTGTTTAATTTGTTTTTAAGGTTATCCAAGCTGATACAGTTTTGTGCTAGGCCTACAGAAAATGTAATTTTCATTCAAAATCAATTTATAAAATCTAGTGATGGGCGGATCCAAGAAAATGTCGGTACCGGATCCGGATCCGGATCTTGAAAAATTCGGATCCGGATCCAGATACACACTGTCATAAGGGCGGGATAAAAAAAACGTAATTAACAGAATGCCAATTTAAATCATACTTTTATTATTTTATCACGATCGGGTGGGATTAAAATACTAATGGGATATTTTCTAGACGAGATTATAGGCCGTTAGCTTATCATCCAGGTACAAAACTAAAAAATAGAGGTGAGCAGACAACCAAAATATCGTGTCGGATTCAGTTCGAAAAGATACATGCCATTGCCATATATGTTATTTATTTGTATCAAGAGACAAACACTGAAACATGGCCTTGCCATATAAGTTATTTGCATCAAGAGACAAACACTGAGACATGGCCTTACCATATATGTTATTTGCATCGAGAGACGAACCCTGAGACATGGCCTTGCCATATAAGGTATTTGCACCAAGAGACAAACACTAAGACATGACCTTGCCATATAAGTTATTTGCATCAAAAGACAAACACTGAGTCATGGTCTTGCCATATAGGTTTTTTGCAACAAGGGCAAACACTGACACATGGCCTTGCCATATAAGTTATTTGCATCAAGAGAAAAACACTGAGACATGGCCTCGCCATATAAGTTAATTGCATCAAGAGACAAACACTGAGACATGGCCTCGCCATATAAGTTATTTGCATCAAGAGAAAAACACTGAGACATGGCCTCGCCATATAACTTATTTGCATCAAGAGGCAAACACTGAGACATGGCCTTGCCATTCAAGTTATTTGCATCAAGAGACAAACACTGAGTCATGGCCTCGCCATATAAGTTATTTGCATCAAGCAAGAGACAAACACTGAGACATGGCCTTGCCATATAAGTTATTTGCATCAAGAGACAAACAATGAGACATGGCCTTGCCATATAAGTTAATTGCATCAAGAGACAAACACTGAGACATGGCCTCGCCATATAAGTTATTTGCATCAAGAGACAAACACTGATACATGGCCTCGCCATATAAGTTATTTGCATCAAGCAAGAGGCAAACAATGAGACATGGCCTTGCCATATAATTATTTGCATCAAAAGACAAACACTGAGTCATGGCCTTGCCATTTAAGTTATTTGCATCAAAAGACAAACACTGAGACATGGCCTTGCCGTACAAGTTATTTGCATCTAGATACAAACATCGAGACATGGCCTTGCCATATAAGTTGTTTGCATCAAGAGACAAACACTCGGGGAAAAAACGGTCTTGTACAGTGATACAGACTGCTTTGTGTTAGTAAACAAATCAGGGGAAAATCGGTCTCTTACATGGATACAGACAGCTTTATTTAGTAAACAAATCGGTCTCTTTCATGGATACAGACAGCTTTATGTTAGTAAACAAATCGGGGTTGTACAGTGATACAGACAGCTTTGTGTTAGTAAAACAAATCGGGGTTGTACAGTGATACAGACAGCTTTATGTTAGTAAAGTAAAGAAATCGGGGTTGTACAATGATACATACAGCTTTATGTTTAGTAAACAAATCGGGGTTGTACAGTGATACAGACTGCTTTGTGTTGGTTAAAAAATCGGGGTTGTACAGTGATACAGACAGCTTTGTGTTAGGAAAAAAATCGGGAAAAAATTTGAAAAAGTCGGATCCATCAAAACCGGATCCAGCCCAAGATCAGGAATTTTTTGGATCCGATCCGGTGCCGGTTCTAGCTCGGATCCGGTATTCCGATATCCGGATCCGAACATCACTAATAAAATCTACTCTTATGATGACATATTGCAATTTAGATAAATGTAGCCTACAACAAATACAGAATAGTTATTAAAAACTGTGGCCTACTCAACTTTCTGAATTCTCTAAAATACGGTTTTATTAGAGCTAATAACTAGACTTTTTAACTCAACACATTAGGCTTTATTTATTGTTCCTATTTTTAGTTAGTTTGACTAAGTTTACCATTTCAGAGATAAGAAGTGCTTAAAATTAGCTGTGTCGGTATGGACTAGATGCAGCAATTAATTCTCCATCAAATTTGTTAGGCCCACTATAGTTTTTCTAACTGTCAAAATCCTTTTAAAGGGGTCATTTCAAAAATTGTTTTGTTTTAGATGCAGACTCTGAAAAGATTAAAGCAGAATATGGTTGCACTGATGACTTTTTCTTGGCTGATGCACTTTGGTATTGCAGCTCATTACTTTCACGCAGGTAACATACAAATCTTTTTATTAAATAGAAATAATAATTAAAAATAAATATAATTAAATGTATTAGGCCTAGTATACCGGTAATTAATTTTAACTAGATAACCCGTTGCTCAAAATCCAGCAAAACTGCAGCTTCTAATAAAAGATTAAAGAACAAAAACATAAACAGCAAGACCTCAATCAAATAATCACTGTAAAGTAGTTTCTATGTCTGATTATAAAAATAAAATATGAAAAATATTATGTTGTAAAAATTGTTTAAAGTAATCTACAATATTTTTAATATAGATCCGCCCTCATACTGCTTAGGTTGTCTCTTATGTACTGTGGGTTAGTGCCCTCTATGAGAGCTTAAATGTCAACCACACATTGAAACTGTAAAGCGAGCTTTTCAGACCTAATGTAGCAAGCTTAATTCCTCTCTTGACACCAACCAGTACGACACGTACTATAGGCCTAGCATTTGTTAAATTATTTCTACCATATGTTCTGTTTTAGGGGTTAAATTAGGGGCCCCAACCAAAGTCTTTGGTTGGGAACATAAAGAGGGTAAGCAAGTGGATCCAACAACGGATCTAGAACGGATTCATGTTTAACATTATTAGTTTTGGGAAAAAAACTAAGACTTATTTGACCAAGTGGTGCTCAGATTTTAAAATATCTGCGACATATAAGCATCATTGTAGTGAGGGAAGTCACTTCTTTTGTCTCTTATTATGCACTTAAAAATTTCACTTGCCTCCTCGGAGCTCTTGTCCCTAAAAATTTCTGCCACATTATTAAAAGATTAGGCAAATGGGTTGCCATTGTGACCCTATCTCCCACATATTTTTTCATTGCTTTTTTTGTTTGAATTGTGTTTCATGCGCTGTTGGGTTCCAGTGCCAACATCACACTAATACAATATACATCAGTGCATATTCAGGATCATGACCTTTTTGAGGAGTTAGATTACCTACCCAGTGGTAAAACGTGTCATGGATCTTGATTTGTAGATCCCCTGTGTGATCCTCTCATCTAAATGAACTTCAGAGCTGACCATGGCAAAGGCGGAATTTAATTGACGAAGGGAGTGACTGGCTTATGAATATTGCAGGTCTTACATCTGTTACTGTCACACGGATATGAACCTTGGGGGATTGGTTCTGGTAGGTTGGTGGAAGGATCAGGTAGTTTGGGTCGGACGAGCATGTTCTTCAGGTTTGGAGGATGTCTGTACACGAGACGGGAAGGTTCTTTGAAGAGATCTTTTGTTTGGCTGGACTGTTGTAAAATTTTGAAGCCATAGGAGATTGTTTATTTTTGATGATAGGCTAGGGTGTTAGGTTGTTAGGTTAACTGATTCAACGTTCTTTTGCGGTTTAGGTTTCTGATGTTTGAAATTGTTGGTGGATGCATTAATTTAGGATTTGACAAGTGCAGGTGGATATCCTCTATTCTCCAAGGCAGTCTGGAGCTTTTGGTTATAGGTATGGGCATCCTCTTCCTTACTATTGATCCGGAGGCCTCTTAGGGCTAGGCTGTAGGGGAGTGAACGTTTTGTGTTGTTCGGGTGGCAGCTGTCAAAGTAGAGGTACTTTTGGTGGTTAGTGGCTTTCGTGTGAACTGTTGTTGTTATGATCCCGTTGACCGTTTTGACAGATATATCTAGAAAGTTGATGGTGGTATCAGAAGTTTCCCATATAAATTTAAAGGGGCTACAGTTATTTAGGTGGTTTAAGAAGAGTTCCAGGTTTTCAAGACCATGTGTCCAGATTAAAAACATCATCTATGTAGCGGAACTAGCATAGAGGTTGAAGCGTTTCGCTTTTTAAGAAGGTTTCTCCGACTTTCCCCATATAGAGATTGGCATATGAGGGGGCCATTCTAGTGCCCAATAGCAGTTCTAGGGGTGTGCGATGCATCGAAAATGCATCGAAATTTCGATTCGATTCGATTCGATGCATCGAATCGCGATTCGATTCAGTGGTGGTCAAAAAACGATTCGATTCACGAGGGAGTCAGTATCAATATACGAAAAACGCCTGCAGAAAGTCAATGCAATACCCGCAATACAGGAGCGCGTTGCTGTTGCGTTTCCTTTACGAAGGCGTTCTTATTTAATACATTCTTTGCATTAAATATAGCTTTAATTGTTTTATATTTTTTTGTTTTGACATTGCAAATGATTAGAGGTTTGTTTTTTGTCTTGATGTAAGCAGTGTGTGAAATATTTTACTACTGTGAACCTAGCCAAAACAAGGTAGGTTACTCCAAAATCATTTTTAAAATAAGTCTGAAAAATTGTTACTTAATACTTAACTAGTAAGATTAATGTTATAGACTGATTCATTTGGTATTTTTGTTAGGTGTCTGCCGGTCCCCGTCCCCGAATTTTTGTTGGGGCAAAAGAAAAAAAAAAGAATAATTTATTTCCAAAGAAACACTCTTATATTATTATATCTATTATTACAGAGGAATTAAAATGTTCAAATGAGAATTAAAAATTAAGTTGGCTCACGACCTTTAAGAATAAAGACACAACAGAGCAATTGCCGCACTGCCACTAGCCAGAGCCAGGTCTAGTCGTCTACTGATAAGAGTAACAAGACAAAAGCCGTGACGCAACACTAACAGTGCAAAGAAAACAAAGTCAAAAGAATAGAAAGACTATTTATCCAGACATACTAGTATAATCATTTATTGTTTATTCAATACCTAATTAAAAATATATTTTATTATTTTACATAATAAATTATAAACAAAAGAAATATCTGATATAGTGAACAGATCTGTATCTTGGTTAGATGGGGTTAAAAAAATATATTTCTAAGATCCAATACAATATTTACAACTCACAAATTACATTGAATTAATTTCTTTGAAAATAATCTCTAACAGTTTTGTGTTTTTGAATAAAGAAATATATTTCTTTGTCTCTACTCCCTTGTTTCATCACTTGCATTTTGTCAGCAATTGAAGCAACTGGGTAGCAACCGGGTGGTGTAAGAGGGGAGGGGGAGGGTCTATGACCTTGAATTCACACATCGTTGCCCGGGCCTGGCTGGTGAGACTGATTCAATGTTTTTGTTGACATACTACCCTTCCTTAAGAGAAAAAGACCCTGCTGCTCCAAAAACATTGAGGGTAGTTTAAAAACATTGACCTGTGTTGCCAAGGGCACTAGGCTAGAAGATAGCATTTAACTTTCTTGTCTCTTGATTTAATATTATTTTAATCTTCTTTATATTATTTAAGAGTTACTTTTCGGGTACCTAATTAGTTGTGATATTGTTTGGCTTTATTTTATGGATTTTTAATTCTTTTCATTCATTAGCTATCAAAATCAGTTGTTTTAGGATTTTAATCTCTTGCAGTAGGTCTATACTACTGTATGACATGATATGCATTTTTTAGTCCTTATTAATTATACCATAAACAATGTTTGTATGTTATTTACTGTTTTTGAGTTTTATAGGAAATTAGTTTACACAATATCTTTTCTTCAATGAGTTCTCCACTTGACATGTTGCTTCTAGCCTATTACTATTTTAGGCCCTATAAAAATAATGCCTAGGTAAAGCTGTAGGCCTACTGATGCCAATAATAATTCTTTATTTATGATGATGTAAAAAATAATGTAAGTGTGAGGTTATTATACTAAGGAGGTTAGGAGGCAGGGAATGAATGATACATATTGCATGGTGGAAACATATTATTTTTATTTTCTTCTTGCTTGCAGTCCTGAAGCCGGTCCACAGGCCCTAAACTTGTGATATGTAAATTTATTTCTTAATGGTCTTTTTATATTAAGTTCCATTCAAATTTGTTGTAATTTAGCTACCGGCACCTATTTAGTTATTTAAACAGTTATTAAAATGAGAATGAATGTCTTGATAAAAAAAATATTTTCTTCTTTCTTGCAGTTGAGCCAATTCAAGTAAAAATTATGAAATAGGCAAGTAAAGCAGCTCACTGGTATTTCCAGCAGTTATTCTAATACATATGATTGAAAATAAATATTTTTTCACCTAAAATTCATATGTTAAGTATGAAATAGGCCTAATACCACATCAACAAAAATTTGTATTACACAAATGTGATACATTTTAATTATTGTTAATCCACTCAATCGACAATTATGAATAGAAAAATACCGTATTGCTTCGAATCGAGTTGCATCGAATCGAATCAAAAATCTTTTGAATCGAATCGTTGCTTCGAATCGAAAATTTTTTGCTGCTTCGCACACCCCTAAGCAGTTCCTTTAATTTGTAAGTAGTGTCGGTCTAGAAATTGGAAATTATTCTTTTCTAGAATAAATCTTGTTAGGTTTAGAATGAATAAAGTTGTAGGGAGGGTACCATTAGTCCGTTTCTGTAAGAAATGTTCTATTGCAGATATTCCATGAAGATGAGGAATATTGGTGTATAGGAACGATACATCAACAGACACCAAGAGAGAATTGTTTTGCAGGGGTTGGGGCACATCAGAAAGTTTTTTGAGGAATTCATTAGTGTCTTTGATAAACGAGGGTAAGGTATGGACTATGGGCTGTAAGAAGGAATCAACATAGGCTGAGATACGTTCTGTAAGTGATCCACATCTCCAGCAATTATGGGCCTACCTGGTGGAGGAGTTATGTTTTTGTGAATCTTTGTTAGAACATAGATTTTGGGGGTATTTGGGCTTTCTGGTATAAGCAGTTCAGCTGTAGCTGGTGGGATGTTTTTGGATTTGGCATGAATTTTGATAAGGTTATGAAGTTCTTTAATGAATTTGGCTGTGGGTTTTTCATCGAATAGGCGATAGGTGGAGGTATCGGAGAGTTGGTTTTCAATTTCCTGTATGTAGTCTGTTTTATTCAGTATGACTGTTGTGGAGCCTTTGTCTGCTGGAAGAATCATGATAGAGTCATTTTCCTTCAGGGATTTAATAGCCTTTCTCTCAGTTGGTTTCAAATTATTATTTGAGTTGTCTGTGACGACTTTAGCAAAACTTGGACTAGCTACATTCTGGACTAGGAAATTAATATATTGTTCTATTGGGTGGTCTGATGGAAGTGGAGGGGGATCCCAGTCTGAGGGTGGTTGAAATTTGTGTAGAAAGGGGTCGGCTTTGTTGAATCGTGAATTTGGCTGGCAAAGTAGTGTTTTAAGCGTAGGTTTCTTGCTAGTTTCATAATATCTTTGATTAATTCAAACTGGTCAAAGGTTGGAGTGGGTCAGAAGCTTAGGCCTTTTTATAACACATGTTCTTCAATTGTAGATAATTTGTGGTTGGATATGTTGTAGATTTGTTGCTTTATTTGTGTAGTGTTATCTGCCTGCATGGTGTGTGTGTAGCAGTTTTCTGGTTGGTGGAGAAAGTAGGCAAAATTGGCTGATGTCTTCCAGGCGTGGGTAGGCCTAAAATGGAGGCTAGACTGGGCTTATCGGATATAAGTGGGACATTTTTCATCTGAGGTTGTAGGCTGATGAGACGGTTGTTTCTCAGTTAGGCAAAGATTTGAATTTTTTTTTAGTTTATTTTTAAATTCCTTGTCAGACTGTTGGATAGCCTATTTTTAGATTCCTTGTCGGACTGGTTGTATTAAGAAGAAATAGTCGTTACACAGTAGTGATGGTCAAAACCAGAAATTTCGAATCTCAAAACTGAAACCGAAACTTTCAAAAATCGAATCCCGAATCTCGAATCTCAAAACCTAAACGCGAAACATTTTAGTGTTTTACTAATCTGGTTACAAAGGTCAAGGTTACAAAAATACAGGTAGGTAATAATAAAATGTTAAGTATGCAATCACAACTAAAAGAGATCAACTCCTGACCCTGACATAACATAAATATGTGACTGATAATCTTAAAACCCAATAACTTACAACATAATTTTTTAAAACAACCAACATTAAAATAAATTAAACTCCTAACACCAACATAAATTTGAATATTAGATTAATTAGAACATATTATAGTAGTTAATATTTCTTTGGGTTTAATAAATATTGATAAGAAACCGAATCATACATCTTTCCAGTTATAGTATTTACGATGCCTTTTGAAGTTCAGATTAGCCTACAATTTACTTGTTTCATTACTGTTAATGGCGATGTTTGTCTATTGTTATGAGCTTGTGACACGAAATAACTTCAGTAGTTTCAAAAATCACTGCAAAAATCTTCAATTTCAAAACTTTTGAATCTCGAAACTCGGTGATCGAATCTCAAAACCGAAACTTTTCTAAAGTTTTGATGGTTTTGAGATTTGAGATTTGGTTTTGACACATCACTATTACACAGTATTACAGCAGCGTTGCAGCTTCGATTGCAAACATTCTCACAGCTTACAAAATATTAAACAACTGATAAATAATTTATTCCTCCATAAGAATTGTATTGACTGAGCCTACCTACGCATTATCCCCGTTTGGCACATATATCTTGAAGATTCGTCTAGTATTTTGCTATTAAACCAGTCTTTTACTCACATATAAAGCCCATGTTATCGAGTGGCCAAATTCACGTATCCCTAATAAGGTTCTCAATATGCCATAGTTTCAATTGTCCTGTTCTTTTTTTACATGTAGCCGTCATCAATTAGATGACAAGAGAATCGTACTGTTCACCGATGACAGCAATCCACATCGGTCATCAGATGAAAAGGCTCATATGGCACGTAAAAGAGCACTAGACCTCCACAAAGTCAAAGTCAACTTGGATGTAGTCCCAGTTGGAAATGATGCCTTCAACTACACTGAATTCTACCAGGTATTGTTCTCAATGTTCGGTTGACTATAAGTTTAGTTTGTCAAAACACGTTTTTCAAATTCTATATTTGAACCTTTAGGCTGTCATGCAATGCTCATAATTTTTGTTGAAGTATTAAGTAGGTTTATGCCAGTATTTTTTGTGCTGGAGTGTTGTCATGTTGTAGGTCCTAAGAAAAAAACATGACAAATATGCAGTTAATTCTAATTAATATTGAAGCACAATGAACTCTCACTGTGTGGACTGATTTGAGATACAAGTCGTCCAGGTGAAATCAAATAATCTTAATACACTCAACTCCCGATTAACCGTAATCGTATTAACCGTCTTGCATAATTCCAAACACAAGTCAATGTTTTTAAACTGTATGTCAATATTTTTGAAACTGCTGGGTATTTTTCTCGGAAGGAAGGTCAGTAGGATGTTAACAAACCATAAATCACTTTCTCCAACCATCCATTCAAGGACATAGACCCCTTCCCCCTTACCCTCCTGATATGTTTGCAATAAAATATTCCGATTGCAGAAACAATTGTTTTACAAAACATGAAAGTAAGAATTAAAAAAAAACGTTACTCTGTTCAAAAACAGAAAACTGTTAAAATGCATTATTTCCAAAGAAATTAATTCACAGTATTTGGTGTTTTGTTAATATTTTATTTGATCTTAAAGACTGTACATAGGCCTATCCTTTGTATTTTCGTTGTATTCATATATATGTGTGTTATTCTTTATGATTTCTGTCAAATACAAGATTCATTTATGGGAGTTGAGTTTTAGACACAGGTGATAAAACACTTTTTACAGGGAAAGTTAAACAGTGCATTATGAGTTTTAGTATATTAACAGTAGCTATGTATTCAAAAGTGTACATTATTTCAATATTATCAGACAAAATTTTTCCAAGGCAACTTGCTGTAACTACCTGTTGTAGGCCTGCGCCTAATCTCCCCCAACCTCACTGTTGCATTCACATTTGTAGAGATGATCGTATACTACTTCGCATAAATACTGTGTAGTTTATATTGGCAATTCCTGTATAAGCTGTATTGAAATTTCTGACTGAAACGGTATAACAGTGTGTTTTAAAATGGTAAAAGATGTCCATATTACTTATCATACTTATTTCAATATCCACACCGTCTCTGTATAAAATAAAAATGGTTTAAATACCTTTAACTGTCAGGTGATCCTTTGAGTAGTATATTACACTACTGCAGTTTCAGCCCTCAGGGGGCTTTCTTCAGGTGTCGAAGGAGGTCAAAATTTTTCATTCATACGAATTCGTCACATTAAAACTACGAGAACACAAATACGACTACGGACACGAACACGAACACGAACATAAAAAACGAATACACACGTAAGAGTCACAAACATTTCCCATGGGTTAATTGATGCGCGACGCGTGCGAGGAGCTAGCCTAGACTAGCGTTATCATTGTTGCAGTCCTTTGTCCACCCCCTCCCTTATCTTTTGTTGCTGATAGTGGAACCGACCGTTCTGCCAACTTCAATGCTGATTCATATATAATGTTCGATTTGAACCCTCTTTGTTCATTTAGTACATTCTGGGGTTCTTTTTTGACGGCCTTATATATTTCAAACTCTTCCATAGTATCCATGAATCGGCCTTTATTGCATTTATGGAGAATTTCGAGATTGTCGTGAATGGCGGAGTAACTGTGGTTATTATCAATTAAATGGTTGGCGTAGGAAGATGTTGATTTAGTATTATGTTTGCCTGGTAAATGTTCTTTGAATCTGATGTTAAAAGACCTGGCAGTTTGACCAATATAAAAGCTGGGGCAGCTGCTACAATTTAATTTATAAACTCCTGTTTTTTGCATGATATTTGTGTTATTGGAGGGCTTCTTACGGTCCTTTAATATGTTAGCTAGTCTGTCTGATGTTTTGAAGGAAACAGTGATATTATTCTTTGAGAGCTCACGCTGTACTGTGTTATTCAATACATTACCATACTCGATGGCAACATACTGCTGTTCTGGCTTATGGGTTCTGTTTTCCCTATGTAACTGTTTATAAATCAGCCGATCGACCATCTCGATCTTATAACCGTTTGACATGGCGATAAATTTGATGGTATTGAGTTCTTCCATATAATCTTCATGGCTGAGAGGTACTGTTAGGAGCCTGTGTACAAAGCTGTTATATGCGGCTAATTTGTGATTCATAGGGTGGTGTGAGGAGCTATGGATTGTTTGGCTGGTCGTGGTGGGCTTTCTATATATTTTAAACTGAAGGTTGGTGTCGGATCTTGTAATTGTGAGGTCTAGGAAGTTGATGGCATTGTTCTGCTCTTCTTCTAATGTAAATTTTAATTGCGTGTGAAAGCTGTTAAAATGGTTGCATAATAACTTTAACTGTCTTTTATTGCCATTGAATATTAAAAATGTGTCATCTACGTAACGATAGTAAGTTATAATCTTCTGGGTGTGTGCATTATTACTAGACCACAATTTTTTGTTCTCTATGTGGTTAAGAAAGATTTCGGCCATTATGCTTGATAATGGGGATCCCATGGCCAGACCTGTCTGTTGAGTAAAAAATTTGTCTTCAAATTTAAAATAATTTTGTTTTAAGACTGTTTTGGTCAGAGATATTAGTTCATTGATGGATTCTTTGTTCAAATTTGAATTTTTGTCTAGATTGTCTTTCAGTATTTTAATAGTCTCGTCCACTGGGACGTTTGTGTACAAATTCACAATGTCAAACGATGCCAGCATATAAGTATTTTTCAGTTGTTGTTGTGTGAGTTTGTTTACTAGATCTATTGTATTTCTTATACTATGGTTGTTTTCAAGGACAACTTCCTGCCGGATAATTTTATCAAGTCTCTTAGCAATCTTGTAAGCGGGTGACGGGATGAAGTTTACCAAAGGTCTGATGGGGGTGTTGGGTTTGTGTATCTTTGGCATTCCTCTTAAGATGGGGGGCTGGGGATTGGTTACTTTACTGAGTTTAATTTCGTTAGCTGAAAGTAGGTTAGTTGAGTGGCTAATTATGCCATTAATTTCTTTGGAATAGGATTTTGTGGGATCTTCGTTTATTTCCTGAATGTTGTTGTCTCTGAGAAAGCTGTAAACTTTGTCGCAGTACTCATGTTTGTAGAGGATCACTGTTGCGTTCCCCTTATCGGCCTTTGTGACCACGGCGTTGTTGTCAGTGAGCTTATCTCTGAGACTCGTTGCAACCTGTCTCAGTGACCTAAACCTGTTCTTGTATTTAGTCGATGGTGAATGTTTCACGGCCTTATTAATCTTGTTTACGAGCATAACTCTAGCAATTTCTTTAGATTCTTCGTTTTTGATTGTTTTAACCGCTGTTTCACTCTGTAGAAGTTCAGATATGAAACAATTTTTTTCTGTTGTTAGTAAAGTTAAAATTCAAACCTTTGTTTAGTAATTCCAATTCTTTCTCAGAAAATTCTATGGTTGTTTTGTTAACAACTCTAGGGTGAAAAACATGGTTGCATTTGATGATTTCCTCTTTTATTTGGGTTTCAACTAGATGATCTAGTTTCTTATTTTGGGTTCTTTTCTTTTGTAGAATTTTCCTATTTATTTGATTGTGTATTTCATTTAAAACATTTAACTGTGAGGTGTGAAGAGAATTTAATAATTCAATGTGTTTATTGAGAAGAAGTTTGTTGAGTCTGGATTTCTTTGAGAAAAGTCGTTTAATTTCAGTTTTAATCCATGTGATCTCGGCAATTCTCTTGGCTTTTTTAGCGGCATGTGTTTTAGAATTTATTCTTACATTTATGTATTTTGGAATTACGCCATATTCTAAACACCTCTTATTAAAATTTATGTTCTCAATAGTTTTCAATAGCTTAATCTTGACGTCCTTATATTGGTAGGCTATTTTTGCTTGACTAGCTTGTAATTTCATGGTGTTAGCCTCCGAATCACTTTAGTTAATAAAAATAGTCTGTATAAAAATAGTCCAAATTACATGGCAATCAAAATTTTTAACAAGCTACCAAAAAGCATAAGTAAAAATTCATCAAAAAATACCTTCAAAACCCTACATAAATTATTATTGGAAAAATCTTACTATAGCATTGAAGAATTTTTTGCTGGATAATTTTGAAGGGTAGGTTGTGCCACGGTTTAAGAAAGAGTCTTAAATTATTATTATTATTTATTTATTTATTTATTTATTTTTTCTGTAGTAGTATTATATACAGAGGACAAAAGCCTATATCCTGTCCTGATACAATATTGAAAAAGCTCCTATCTATGTACATTGTACTCCAAAAGATGTTATGAGTTAATAGAGAATTTGATTTGATTTTATATTCTGCAGTTTTTAAAATGGTCCTTAGCTGAAGGATCCTATTTCAGATTAAGATAATTTAGGTACATATACTTATTGTTTTGAAATACAGTCCAACCTGATACAAAATACAAAATACCAAATACAATACAGCTGTTCCTGATGATTGGGCTTTAATTAATGATCCTGGCTAATGAAACAGCTGATCTTAGTCAGTAACAAAGCTACACAGATCATCTCACACCATTCTACACTCATCCTTCACTCATATTTGGGTTAAAATATGCACCTAAGTGGCGTCCCCATCTTAATGATTGATAATTGATAATTGAACCTCGGTACAACAAATCTGATGGGACCCAACTGAATATTCTTTATATCAAGGATTTTGTTAAAACGAGGTTAGTTATATTGAGGTTAGGTTTGTAGGAATTTCTCTAATCGAGGTTCAGAAACAGCATCGGGCAATATAGGTCGAGATTTGACCCTGATATTCACAATTACACAATTAAGTAGCATAGGCTACAATACTTTACAGTGTGATATTGGCATTGTAAAGTACAATCTTGATTACCCGGGGTAATACTAATAAGGTGGAGGGAGACTACGGATTGTGAAAACCAAGGTTAATCCAACATGGTATGAACAAAAATGGACAAACCCATAAAAACACTGAAATAGTGTGTAAATAAAAATGTCCATTATTGTCACAATTTACATTTTTTATCCACATAATAAAAAATAGCCATTACACAATCATTAATATTGCGCAATCATGACATTTCAAGTCATTGACCTTGGTTCAGTTTACAAACTGAAACGTTTAAAATCACTGCTTACTCTAACCCATCTAAAATCTAGCCAACACTGTAGAACAACAATAAATCATGTAAATAACAAAACAAGGCAGTATAGAATTTTGTAAGCTACTGCTCGTGATAGGCTGATAGGCTACAGTACTCCTTTACCCTTTATCACAACAGAGGAATGTAAACAATAATAATTAACTAGCATTGGTGTTGTATTAAAAACAATAAAAATATTAGATAAATTATCGTAAAAGGGTATAATCATATCCTACTTAAAGGAAATAAAAACATTTGTAAAAGGAATATAAATATAATGATGTTGCTATTCTTTCTCTTTGTTCTCTATCCAAAAGCTCAACAAGTCACCATAGTTGCTTATCACCCTAAGTTTACTAAGCATTACGACCTCATCAGTCCTCAGTGAAAGAAATCAGTTGTGACATAGCTCAAAGCAGACTGATGTGTAAAACTGAGCAATCTAATTTTACCGCAAGCGTTGACGTCACCTTTCTATTATTTTCATCAAGAAACTGAGATTTTTCAAAAACCATAATGTGAGTTGAGGGGGCTCATTATATCGAGGGAAAGATAGAACATTCGTTAAGTAGAGGTTAAATTTGCTATGTAGAAGTCTGACAATGATAAATTTGTTAAATTGAGGTGTCTCATTACAGCTGGGATTGTCGAAGATTCGTTAAATTAAAGTCGTTGATATGGTTTGTTCGTTATGTAGAGGGGGTATACATTGTGTCTTATGGAGAGTTCTAGGTTATAAAAAAATTTGTTATGTCATGGTATTTGTTATATCGAAGTTAGACTGTACTAACCACGTTTGATCTGGTAGATAAATAAAAATACCTTAGCATTTTTATTAAAATTATTAAAAATATATATTGTTATTTGGGGTTCATAATTGAAATATCATTTTCTGAATCTATGGTCCAATGTCATTTCAATCAACTAGGTATTATGCTGTGCCTGTTTCAGGAGCTTGTTGAGACTGTAAATGGCGAACCTGAAGGTGATTTTGAAGCAACTGCAAAGCTGGATGATCTTCTTGAGAGAGTTAATAGGTAAATAAAGAACTTTTTGTCATACTACAGAAAAAACAGCTGTTGCAATACATGCCTTGCTGGGCTAAAGTTGTTCTTTTTCTCCCTGAGGTGATAAAGAGCTTCATTTTACATTTTTTTAACTCTTATACATTTTTACACCCTTGGGGGTTGTGCAATTTTGTTCGGGGTTTAAAGGCCTATAACATATTTAAGTTTAGGGATGGTTCAGTTGTTAATGTCGGTTTCACGAGTTATTAGCAAACAATTAAAAACCAAGATTTGATTTATAAAAGTTGGTTTTAGTTTATTGGTTTTTGTGCAATTTTGTCAGGATCGTGGTAGTTGGTTAGAAGGACAAAAAAAGGTAAAAAAAATATTAAAAACATTGTTTATACCGACTGGAAAAACCGGGAGAACCGTGAAAAAGCCGGGATTTTTTTTAGCGATTCCAGGATTTTGATTTTAGCCCCGGTAGAAGATTGCAATCGAATCGTTAAACGCGCATTTGCCCTGATCGCAGAAAACTATGATGACGTTTCTGTGACCGCGGAAGACGACGATGATGGCTTTGGGAAATATTCATGATTTTGCCGCGATCGCTAACGACAACGAAGACGTTTCAGTGACCTTGGGAGTCAATGATGATGACTACACGGCCGCGGAAGATTTTCGTGATTTTGCTGCGATCGCGGAAGATGACCATATTTCTGTGGTTGCGAAAGACAATGATGATGTCTGCACGGGCGCAGGTTCATGATTTTGCCGTGACTGAGGACGATGACGACAGCGTTTCTGTGACTGCGAAAGACGATGACTACGTTTATACTGCGGTGGGAGATTTTTGTGATTTGGCTGGGATCGCGGACGACGATGGTTATGTTGTTTCCGTGGCCGTAGGAGACGACGATGATGTATACATGGCCACGGAAGATTTTTGTGATTTTGCCGCGATTGTGGAAGACCACGAACACGTTTTCGTGACCTCGAAAGACGATGATGACGTCTACATGGCCTTGGAAAATATTCATGAATTTGCCGTGATCGCAGACGACAATGACATTTCCGTGACTGCAGGAATCAATGATTATATCTTCACGGCTTCAGATTTTTTAGTGATTTTGCCACGATCGCAGAAGACCATCCTAAGGCATAATTCATCTTTATATTTGTTTGACGCAATTCATTGTATATCAAACTTGCACTGTGAATGAATAAAGAGAAATTGAATTGAACCACAATCACGTTTTAGTGACCGTGAAAAACGACGATGATATCTATTCGGCCGCAGAAAATATTCATGATTTTGCCGCGATCGCGGACGACGAAAATGATGTTTTTGTGACCACAAAAGACGATGATGATCATGTCTACATGGTGGCGGAGGATGTTCATGATTTTTCTGCGATCACGGACTACGATGATGACGTTTCCGTGACCGCGGGTGTCAATGAAGTTGTCTACACGGCCACAGAAGATTTTCGTGATTTGCCGTGATCGTGGATGACAATGATGACGTTTCCGTGACCGCAGGAGACGACGATAATGTCTAGGAGATGACCTCGGGAGATGTCTAGGATTTTGCCATGATTATGGAAGACTGTAATGACGTTTATGTCACCGTTGGAGGTGACCGCGGGAGATATTCAGGATTTTGCTGCTATCATGAGAGATGATGTTTCCGTGGCCTTAAGGAATGATGATAATGAAAATGATTACTTTAAAGAGGATTATTATTTTTTCAACACTAGCTCACTGAACTTTGGAACTATTTAAAATATACAAATGTGATGTATATTGATGTGTACCTAAGCTGTAAGTCTTAAATTGGTTATAGTTTTAGTGGAACTAAACATGTACGCGGGAATTAATATAATGTTTAAGTAGGAAACATTCACACGGGAACCTGGAAAAACATTGAAAAACCAGGGAAAACGTGGACAAACCTGGAATTTCACTTAAAAAAAATATTATACACCCTGTAAAAATAAAAAAAGATCAATGTTTAAAATATGTTTGTTTCAGATACGAGTACAGAAAGAGACGCTATGCCAAACTCAGATTCAGCCTAGGACAAAATTTATTTTTGGGTGCATCTCTTTATACATTGTACAGGTATGTTCATCCCCCCATTACCAAGACGTTGTGCTTAAATTAATGTAGAAAACGTGTCATTACTTCAAAAGTAAAAATATTATGTGCACAGTAATTAGGTTCCTCAAAATGGAAGATATCACAATATATTTATTGTGTATTCGTGATAGATTAATTTTTTATACTTATTTTTATTATGTTTTCCCTTATCTTATGAAGACAAATAAAAAATTATCTGAAAACAACTTTTTGCTGGATGCACACACAGTAAAGATAAGCAAAACGTATCAAATTACTCATTTTAGCTGCATATTTGATGACCATTTTGGTACTTCTTGCTTATAAAAACACCTTTTACTTTTTAAAGGTTTAAATATTGTATTCCATATTTTAAATACAATCAGTAGTTATGCTAAAAATGTATGGTTTCTGCTAGTGATGTTTCGGTTTTAAAAAACTGTTCTCAGTTCCAACAGTTCTTGGGAAAATAACCGGGACTGAAAATCATTGGAAAATTGTCGGTTCATTGGTCCAACGAACCCATCAACATGCGGTACTTTACATATTTTTGTTCTTAAAAAGATTTGTTGTATATTGTTATTTAAATGGTAATTAGAACCCTCTAATATCTACAACAATAACATATAAAACTCATAAATGCTATTGTTACCAATAAGTGATGATAAATAACATAGACTTTTCAGCAAACAACCTACACCATTTTCGTTTGATTGGTGGACCGCAACCACCACAACCGTCTCCGCAGCAAAAAAAAAATTGTCCGTATTGCGGCTGACGATGTTTGTGTCTCCACGATTGTGAGAGATGTTAACGATGATTCCACGAACCCGTGAGATGATAATGATATCTCTGTGATCGCCTTCAAGGAGTTACAAGCTGTAACTTGTAATTTCCATTGGGCAATCAGCTTATTTACCAATAATATTAGTTTGTAGTTAATTATAAAACAGGCTTCAGATGAATATCAATATTGCATCATAAGGCTTCTTCTTCAATCTCACGATTTCAGGCTAGGCAAAAGTAAAACTCAAGAAGAAAGAAAATAATAAATACACGGTTAAAATTTAGTGTTTGCGTTACTTTGATTGTAATATTGCACTTTTTTTATGTCTGATGTGTCGATGGTGTATTAAAGTAAACCGTCTTGTTTCTGATTCATCGGATTGCAGCACCACAGTTACGTAGATATAGATTTTTAATAAAGTATTTTTGTCTGTTGATTCGATAATTTTTTTATGGCGAAGACCCGACGACGCGCATATGAATCCTTTGATATTTGTCGTAGTCGTAGACCCTAGACAACTCGTCTCCGGATTTTCGACCAAACTGAATTCGACCCGATTTTTCGGATATCCGAACACCTCTATTCTGAACTATTATCAAAAGCTGGAAGCACTGCTACCAACAGAAGTAGTTGTAATTTTTAAATAAACTCAAGTATTAAAGATTAATTTTCGTGTGTGTACATTTTTTTCCAATTTTTTCACCGGAACCGAGAACCATTTTCAGCCAAGAACTAAGAAACAAACCGTTAAAAAATGGAACCGACACATTACTAGTTGCTTCGTAGTTAACAGTGGCCCATTCCTAATTTAGAAGTGTTTTACGTGTGAAATGTTTTCATTTAATTTAAACTGTCGTCAAATCTCTGTCAGCATTAAACCAAGTTTCTATATAAACACTTTGACCAAAATAGAAGGCATAGTAAAACCATAGACTAACCAACACAAGTAGATTTCTCATCCTATTGTCAAATTTGAAACTTGTGTTTTGTGTCTAGTTCATGTTGGTGACACTAGGCGCTAGTATTGACGATATTTTGTTTCTACTGTATATGGTTAATTTCATAAAATTACAAATCACTAGCTGTTGGCCCGTCCTACGTACGGGAATCAAGTAGTCGATTATCTTATCTTATCTAACAGGGGCAGGTCGAGACCTTAAAGCACTTCATCCGAAATCGAATTATTGCGCACCCCAGATAATTGTTTTCTTGTTGACCTTACAAGTTAAGGCGCCCAATGAATGCCTGTAGCTTCCCAATTAGTTCATCCTCAGGAAGATATCTTCCTCTAGCCGTATTTCCAAGAGTTATCGTCTAGCGTCAGAGAGCTCGTTACAATCAAAATGTAAGTGATCAGCTGTCTCTTCTGACCTATTACAGTACCTACAGATCGGTTCACCATCATACAAGCCCATCCGTTGTAAATGTTTCCTGAATCCCCCATGACCAGTTATCAGTTCAACAGTTAATTTAATTCTTCGTCTGTCTAGTCTCAAGAGGTCAGAGGCAACCTTTTTGGAAGGCCTAAACAGAGTAAGCTTGCTGACCCTAAGAAGGGGAACATCGAACCAGCGTTTGCGATGCTTTTCCTTGGCCCATGATGCAATCGCAGAACATGCACTGTTTCGTGAGATGCCACATAAGGGTTGTGGGCCTATCACTGTTGTCGCAGAGGCAGTGTTTGCCAATCTATCTGCAGCATCATTACCTTTTATGCCTGAGTGTCCTGGCACCCAGCAAAGCGTGAGGTAATTTCTCCTACCCAACTCAGACACAGAAGCAAGACAGTCCCACACGAGCCTGGAGTTGAATTCGTAAGAGTTTAGTGCTTTTAAGGTCGCTTGACTATCAGTGTAGATATTGATTATTTTGTCTCTGATATTTTTGTTAAGATGTTCCTGAGCACAAACCAGGATGGCAGTGACCTCCGCTTGATAAACAGTTGTGTACACCCCCATGGGAAGACAAGCCAGTGCCTCCATTTATCCAATGCGCACCTGCTCCAGTGCCCCCATTTTTTATTTTAGAACCATCAGTGTAGCATTCTAAATCACCTGTGGGTATGGGTCCTTTTCCGCCAGACCAATCCTTCCTATCTGGTATTAGTACTTTGAAAGGCTGTCCAAAGGAGTATTTTTTGGACATGTGATCTGAAGGCAAGTCCAATTCATCATTTGTACCACCTGAACAATTTTGGACTGCCCTTTATTGTTTCCTGAGGTTATTGTTTCCTGAGGTCCATTAGTTTTCGCATTTAAGGCGTTGGGCTGTTTTTCTTGCTACCACCTTGACGTAAATGTCGATAGGTAGCATATCAAGCAGACAATCTAGAGCCGCTCCAGGACAGCTACTTACTGCCCCAGTTATCATTATAAGAGCAAGCCTCTGAACTCCTGCTAAAGCTTTGACAGCTGTAGTAGATTCCATCTTTGGCCACCACACAAGCGAACCATATGTAAGGGCGGGTCGGAAAACAGATACATACAGCCAGTGCAAAAGTCTAGGCTGTAACCCCCATGTTCCACTTACCATCCGCCTGCATGCCATAAGGGACCACTTGCCACGTTCAATTACTTTTTGAAGATGTGGTCCCCAGTGAAGTGATCTGTCCAAAATTACACCAAGGTACTTCACCTGATTCTGCAGCTCTATCACAGTGCCCTGCAGTCTTAGTGGGCCGATCCCATCCAGTTTCCTCCTTCTTGTAAAGGGTACCATTACAGCTTTCCTGGGATTAATAGAGAGCCCAACTTCCTGGCACCATCGGTCCACCACCCTTAAAGCTCTATTCATAAGGTCAGTTATGGTTCCATGGAACTTTCCAACCACAAGGAATGCAACATCATCAGCGTAACCTAAGGCGAAAACCCCACTTTCATTGAGGGTCCTTATAATATAAGGTCGTCTGCTACCAAATTCCAAAGGAGGGGAGAGAGAACCCCACCCTGGGGGCAACCTCGAGTAGTTCTTGCCTCGATCGTGTCATTATGGAGCGAGAGCCTGACCTTCCTACTGTGAAGCAAGGATTCAATCCATCTACATATGATACCGTGAAAATCTCTTGCTCTCACCGCATTAAGAATCGCTAAGGGTGTCAGTGTTATCAAAAGCACCCTGAATATCGAGAAAGGCGCCCAGAGCCACTTCACTGCTCTCTAGAGCCTTCTCTATCTTGCTTACAAGTTGGTGCAGCGCGGTCTCGCATGATCTTCCTGAGACATACGCATGCTGATTGTTATGAATAGGATGTGTCCTGAGAGCTGTATCCATCATATATCTTGAGACCAACTTTTCTAGGATCTTAAGGAAGAAAGAAGATAGAGAAATGGGTCTAAATGACTTAGGATCAGTGTAACTATCCCTCCCTGGTTTTGGAATAAATGCAATGCGAGAATTCAGAGAAGTAGTCGATTAAAACTGAATATAATTCAGAACAGATAGTTTACACGCATAAAGAAACATTCTGAAAGTTTTAATAGGGAAAATCATCTTGTAAACAAAATCACGTGACCACCTATTTCCTTCATCCTATTATAAGCCTATACGATATGCATTTTAAATCCGATAATTTTACAATAAAACAGTGATTGTATCGATTTGAAAAGCCTTGAAGTGGGATTGGCGGTCGATTCACACACACACATTGGTTTAAAGTACAGTAGCCACATATCACCTTCCATTGCATACCATCGCCTAAAGAGTACCTTATTTTACCTCAGTCTTTTGCCAGTGAAACCTTAAGAGGATTTTGGGCTCCCAATCACTTCTATCCCATACCTCTTCTAATGTTGATCCCAGTGTGCAGAAGTCTTTCATTGCTTGGTCCTCCAAGTGGTCGTCTTACTTGTGGTATTCATTTGAATACATTTTAAAAGTTGATCTATCTTCTCTCCAACACGCATAGCCATATATCTGGCTATGCTCTCTCTTAGTCCTCTGTTCTTTTGTATCTCAACCTCTGTTATCTTGAACTGGTCCGTATATTTTCTCTAAACTCTATTCTCAGAGCGAGCAATAAGGTTTTTCGGTTCTTTGGCCAGTGCCTACGTTTTTTAACCATACAGTACAACTGGAATAGTTATGATACGGTATAAATTGATTTTGGGTTCTACTGAACCCTTGCAGCTTATTGGACATTTATATAGAGAGAGACCTACCACACAAATTGACATTTGCTTTGCCAACCAAAAATTTGGTATGCCGAAATAGTTCTGAC